TCAACGGCACCGGCTCTTTTGACGATTCCAGCCTATTCGGAGCTGACGGTTGATGTTGCTTATACGCCTACTGCAATAGAGAAGCCACAGGAGACAATGCTCAGGCTATATAATCCGGATCTTGGCGAGTGGCGCTACCACTGCCGCGGTGTCGGCCGTCCGCCCGCGGAGAGCGCCCCGGTGGAGTGTGTCTGCGACGTCGGGGGAAAGTTGTCCGTGGCGCTCAAGATAAAAAATCCGTTTGATGTACACATCGTCCCCGTAGTGGAACTTTGCTGCGACAAGGAGGGGTATTACACCTTGGCTACGATGCCGCAGCTGCCATCCATCGCACCGGGGGCGGAGGGTGCCATATCGCTTACCTACACGCCCAAATCTGTCGGTCGCCATGAGGCCACCGTCCTCGTGCGTCCGGAGACTTCGGCGCAGGAGGCGCAAAATTTCACGTGGAGATTCCCGCTGAGGGGTGTTGCGGAGTGGCGTTGCCGCGATGCGCCTCGGCGTTTCCGTTGCGTGGCAAGGCGCCAGCTGGAGGAGACGATCACGTTGGAAGCACCGGGGCTTACGGAAGAGGAGTGTTGCCTCTCCGTGGCGTTGGAATTAGAGCGTCACCAGCAGTACGCGTCGGCTGTAGAGGCAAGTCTTCAAAGCAAGGTGGAGGTTTCCAACGCAGCAAAGGAACTGCTTACTGTCAATATACGCTTTGCTCCCTTGCGTTCCTTCCTTGCCGCGGCTGACCTTGTCGTTCGCTCTGGAAAGGGTGCGGCGTGGCGGTATTCTATCGTTCTGGATGCCTTACGGGCTGAGTATGACGATGTGGTGACTATTAAGGCCGCTCTTCGCACCGTATCCGCCGTCGTATTCGACATGTACAATGTGTTTCCACACACTTCTCCTTTCAGTGCCTATTTTACCCCTGAAAGCTCTCGTGATTTTTCTGTAATAAATGCGCGTGGGGTGCTGCATCCGTTTTTGGTGGGCCAGCGCAACCCGGGGGTTGCGACACCGCTGCAGGTGCGGTTTGCCCCCTCAGCCCGTCTACCGCGAGTGGAGGGGACTCTCATTGTTGACACCGAGGACATGCAGTGGTCCTTCAAGGTGATCGGGAGGATTGAGGATAGACAGACGCGATAGATGTCTGTTTGGGATGTAGAGAGAGAGAGAGAAAGAGTGAGAAGACTTTTTATGTAATTATGTATAAAATGACAACAATGAAGAGGCAGAGGAAAAACAAAACAAAACAAAACCAACTGCACCAACACGATGATTAGGGAAGACATGAAAACTTGCTAGTGGAGGTGATATGTATGCCTGCATGCTCATGCAGAGATTAAATTTCTTGTTTATTTATTTTCTATTTTTTTTTTTTCCTGCTTTTTTTCCCCTTCTTCCCCAATATAAATGCGTTTTGCGATGTGTGTGTGTGTGTGCGTTAGTCTTGCTTGGAAGAAGAAGCAGCAGCAGCAAAAATGGATGACTGGGAGAAGGAGTACGAGGCGGACCGGCGACGGCTGGCGGAGGGAAAAGATGTTATTTTTGACGTCCGGCGAAACGACGCGGCAGCGGATGTGTTCGAGGAAAAGAAAGACGTGTCTTCTCACGCCGTCCCTACCGGCGGGTCGGGGACGTCGATGATGCCTGAAATTGTGCCGGCGTCTTTCGGACCGACAACAACAACGGTGGAACCCTCACGGACGGGGGATGTCGCACCACCCGTCGCCGTGCCGTGCGATGATGAGAAGGAGGAGATCCGCAAGTTATACGCCCAATACAGCGATGACGACTCCCTGCCGCGTAACAGGCGCGCCCTGTCTGATGAAGAGGGGGACGAGCGAACTCAAGATTACAACCTACACGATGCCCGCTTCAGCCTCACTTGCCTTCCGCCTGGGTGGAATCTTTGCGGTTTATTTGGCACAAAGTTGGGTCGACGCCTATTTTTTGCGGAAACAGTGAAATCGCTATTTAAAGGGTTTCTCGCTAGCAAGGAATCACTCGTCGGCTGCTTTGTCACGCCAAATTGTGTGTACCTTGGCGACGTTCAAACAGGTGCGATGATTATCTGCGTTGACATCCTCCGGCTTCATGAGATGCACATTTTTGACGGTCTTGCAGTTGGCTTGAAAACGTTGGATGGGCTTGAGTTGTTTCTGCAGTTACCAAAGCAGGCGGAGCGACTGGTGGAAATCCTACAGAAGATTTCGGCGTTCTGGAAAGTAAACGTCAAGGTGGTGCGGTCCACGACTGACGCGGCAAAGGTGTTCAAGAAGGAGATGCGCCTGGTGGAGAAGAAGAGCCAGGCGTGGAGGCTCGTAGAGGATCCCCGCACGGGTCTTCGTATCGTTAATCTTAAGGGAAAATTTGCAAACATCCTTTCGCCCATTGCGTCCAAAATTCTGCACTGGGTTGGGTTTGTAAGCCAGCTGTCGAAGGACTGGAAGGGCTCCAAGAAGGCACAGCGTCGGTGTGCGTGGGTGACAGCAACGTGCTTTTTTGTTGCCAGAGAGGAAGGGCTCGCGGGAGACGCGCGGAACATCAAACATTGCGTGGCGATGCAGTATATGACCGAGCTGTACGCAGGCCCCGGCGGGGAGTTGGGCATCGTCGCCGCAGCAGGCCCTCCGCAGCCACCGATATCCGTGACGTTTGAGTTGGAGGAGGAGAAAAATGCGGTTCTCTTTATCTTTCAGGAGTGCTACAACTATCGGAATGGCGGCGGCTCCGTCAAAGTTACGCGCGTGGACAGCGTGGAAGAAAAGATTCGCTTTATGAAGGCGGTGGGAGAGGCACGACCGCAGCTTTTTCTTATGCGCCCGCAGAAGGAATTATACGATTTCCTGCGAAGTCCTTCTGGGAAAAAGTAAAAGGAGAAAAAAACAAACTTCTCTGCTGCACGGTGGCATCTTAAATCTTATTTTGTTGTTTCTCAACGTACTGCCACGGTGCGTTTTTTCTTTCTTCCTTTTTCTGAGCCTGGTGTCGCATCACTGGTCACGTCCCTCTCCTTTCTTCTTTGGATGCGGGTGCCTCGGCGTGCGTCCACCGCGCAGGACACGAGGGGAGGGACGTTTTTGTTCTCTTCTTTGCCCTTTGACCGTAGAGCGGGTTTTTTTTTTTTTTTTATCACGCGGAAACAGAGGGGACCCTGTGTGTGTGTGTGTGTGTTAGCATGCGGCGCCTGCATCAGACGCACATCCGTCGAGGTGAAGGCGCGTCACTGACGTTCTTTTTTTGCGTCCGTGAGGAGGGCGTCAAGCTGCCGGATCCGCCGTACGCGTTGCCCACGTCACCCCGCTTTGACGCAGAGCGCAGCGGGGCGTTCAACAAGGCGTGGCTGCAGCACGAATTGCCCGCCTTAAAGCCGCTGGTGCGAAACAGCGTGTACCTGCCCAGCAAGGAGGAGTTCTGGAGGTTACCCATGCACGAGGGACTGGAGAAAATTGCGGAGCGCATGCCGTATCACGACGTTCTTCGGTACATTATGGATCATAATTACTTCTTTTTGTTCAAAACTTTGCTGAATAAACCTGATGCGCCCCTTCCGCATATTATGTACGAAGATTTTATGAAGTGCCGGACATTTTCCTCGTTGCAGAACCCACCCGAGGAGCAGTTTGCGCTACCGCCGACGTTGCTGCGGGTGCTTCTCTGTATGGCGGCATACCAGTGCATTCTGGACCCACACTACTTTACAACTTGCCAGCTGCTCTTTCGACGGCTGGAGCAGCAACAGACAATGACGTCCGGGGTTTTGTCCGCGTGGGTGTACTGCTGCGCAGCCAGTGGGAGGGTGGATGATGCCTTGGCTCACGCGAAGCACATGGCAGATCACGATGTTCCATTTGATGAAACTGTCTTTTCTCTTATGCAGCATCCTTCTGTGGACCCTGTGGCGGTCGAACACTGTGCGGTGTGGCACTCCGCGAAGGGGATACTTTTGCAGCGTCGTCTGGGCGAACGCCTTCAGACGGAGTACCGCAGCGACAGCGTGGCAGCCCACGGCATGTTTGTCTTTTACGCACTGACGTTAAGCCACGTGAAAAAGTGGGAGGTGATACGTGCCGCAGTATCTCTGGGCGTGTCTCTTTCGGAACGGACCTTGGCGCTGTTGGTGGAGGTGTACGCACGCGAGAAGGGCCTGCGATGTGGTCCCAAAACTGTGAGGGCCTTCGCTTCGCTATTAGCGCGTGACGGCACAGTGGGGCATCTGCTTTTTGTGCTGCTTCGTGCGAGAAAGAACGAACTCTTGCCGGAGTTTCAGGGTTTGCCAAGGACCGTTTTTAGCGAGGCGGAGAAGGCGGATATCTTGCAGTGTGTGGAGAGACGCGCCCGTCGTGAAGACGGATTTCGTGCAGCCATTCCGCTTCTCCGTGCGTTGGTGCAAGAGGACGACCCACGACATTTCTTTCACGCCCTTAACCGTGTCGTTTGCGGGACTAATAACAGGAGCAGCATTGGTGTTGATAGCAGTGTGAATAATGATGCTGCTCCCGTACATGCATTGAGTGACGAGCAGAGCCTTCAATTTTTAGTGACATCTGTACGGGGCCTACTGCGTGAGGTGGACACGCTGGAGAAGACGAGCCGGAGGGAGGCAGTTAAGACGAGTCGTGCCGCAGTGAGGGCTGAGAAGGCACCGGGGGATGAGAAGGAGGAGGAATTGCGGACGTTGGACGAGAGCGGCATTCCTGCGGGTGTGCGTGAACTTGCCCGGATTCACCTTGTCGAGGAGGCGGAGCGCGCGAAAAGAGCCGCGCGGCTTCGCACGGCGTGGGTGAATCCAGACGGCACGTTGTGACAACACACCCCTTGCACGGAATCTGTCAGTTATTTCACCGGACCCGTGTGGGATCTGTGCATTTGTGCCTCTTTTTTTTTCTGCTGTGAATTCCAGGCAGATTCATTTTTATTTTTTTTTCTTTCTTTATTGTTTGTCTTTCTATTCACATGTCTCTTGGGCTTACGTGCGGCACAAACAACCACATGCTGGCTGCAGTAAAATGCTGTCGTCCGCCAGGGCTTTGCTGGCTCGACTGGAGATCTACCGCGGCGACCGGGCCGAGGAGGAGGAGGAGAAGGAGCTGCAGCCACTGCCGCAGCCGCCCCGACAACACCCTCCGCTTGCGGTCGACGCCGTTCTTACGCGGCGTGTTGCCCTCCTGCGAAAACGCCTGAATGCCTTGAAAGAAGAGAACGGCGGCTTGCGTCGGGAAATAGAGGCCGCGGAAAGGACGATCGCGACACACAGCTTGCCCACTGCCGCGATCCTCATGTTGGGCTTTCAGTGCGTGCTGGAGGAGTACAGCCGGGCGCTGCAGAGTGAAGGAGAGCATGTGCACGAAACATCACTCATGCGTGATGCGTTGGTCCATGCGTTGCAGCAGCTGTATTCCTTGAAATCGTTTATGAAGACATTGGATGGCCTACATGAAGCGTACAGACAGGTGCAAAGGGAGGGCGTTCAGTTGGTTCTGGAGAACTATGTTGGGGGGATTTCGGAGGATGACGTACGCACGGCAGCGGCGGAGCTCATTGTGCGATATGATGTCCTTGAGGAAAGACGGATGCAATCGGTGAGCGAGTACAATTTACTTCAGCGCAGTTTTGCCAACGCCGTTGGTGTGGCTGTTTCCCGTGCCATGCTGCATGTTGGGAAGAGCAAGCAGGCAGGTCAACAGACTCTGTCGTTGCTGAGTGCCATGCAGCAGGTGGTGCTGGGGGCGTTGGATGTCTTTCGTCATTTAGAGCAAGACGTGGCGACGAACTTCGCGCGGGGCGTGAGTGTGAATGCGGTTCTCCTCAAGAGGCTCCACGCAATTAGTCTGTCGATGGTCCCACAACACGCAGCGCCCACCACCGCCGATCTGCAGGCGATGACCGGTGGCGTGGCGGACACTGACATTGAGCAGCGGCGGGACGGCTGCTACGACGCTTGTGTGCAGTCTTTGCAGGCCGCTTTGTTTCTACTGGTGGACTGACGGGAATGTCTTGCGGTATGAATTTTCTTTTTTTTTTTTTTTATCGTTACCAAAAATATATATATATATATATTTCCTTTTCCTTTTTTTTTATTATTTATACATGCGTGGACATTCTCTCTGTGTGAGCTGCATGGCATAATGTCAAACACATGGGATTTTATGGACGGTCTTTTTGTGGTAAATTTGTCGTTTCCATTCCCCCTCTTTTTTTTTTTTTTCTCTCTCTGCCTGTGGACTGGTCCGAGGGGGGTCCACGAAGAAGAGGAAGAAGAAGAAGAAGAGACACAGACACACAAGACGGAGAGAGACATACGTGGAAGGAGGGAGGGAAATAGGAAAAAAAAAAAAAATAATAATAAAAGGGGACATGATGCAGTACGGTAACGCTTTAGCGCAATACGGGACGTACCAGCAGCGTTATCCGGTTGCTGTTAGCCAAGGCGGGATTGCTGCCATTCCTTCCCTTAGTAAATCCCCAATGATTCGCGACGTGTGGGAGGAGAATTTAGAGGAAGAGTTCAACATCATACGATCCCTGATCAAAGATTACCCTTATGTGTCAATGGACACCGAGTTTCCCGGAGTTGTAGCGAAGCCTGTGGGCAATTTTAAGGCAACACACGAGTTTTATTACCAGACACTTCGTTGTAATGTCAATTTGCTCAAAATGATTCAGCTAGGGATTACACTACTCAATGAAAAGGGTGAGGTACCGGAAAACTGCTGCACCTGGCAGTTTAACTTCCGTTTTTGCCTCACAGAGGATGTGTACGCACAGGATAGTATTCAGTTACTCCGCCATGGCGGCATTGACTTTGACTACTTTGCGCAGTATGGGGTTGAGGTGACGCACTTTGCGGAGCTCCTTATCTCGAGCGGGCTTGTGCTGAACAGCGACATTCGCTGGCTTGCCTTTCATGCAGGCTACGACTTTGGTTATTTGATGAAGGTGGTCTGCGGCAAGGAACTGCCGGAGAAGGAGGATGACTTCCTGCAGATCTTCCACTCCCTGTTCCCGTGCGTGTACGACATCAAGTACCTCCTGCGCGCCACCGACCTCTCGCACTCGTTGGGTTTAGACCACCTCTCGGAGAGCCTTCGGGTGCGCCGGTTCGGCATGGCGCACCAGGCCGGCAGCGACTCCCTCCTCACCGGCCACTGCTACTTCAAACTGCTCCGCGACTGCTTCGGCAGCAACCCGCCCGTGGCAAGCAACGGCGTGCTCTACGGCCTGTGCGAAGACGCGTCCTCAGCCGCCACGCCCAGCAGCACGACGATACCGGGCGGCAGCGCACACGCGTTCGCCTCGTTTACCGCCAGCAAAAACACCACATTCCCGTCCACGCCGCTCAACCACTCGGTGAAGGGCCACAACTAAACAAAACAAAAAACAAAGTCCCTGCCGTTGCCACTTCTTTCCAACCCGCGCAGGCGTGAGTTAAAAGAGGCGGCCACGACGAAAAAAAAAAAAAAAAAAAAAAAACGAAAAAAACTGAAAAATAAACCAAAAGCGAGCGACGGGGAAAACAAAACAAAACAAAACAAAAAAGAAAAAAGAAAAGAAAAGAAAATGCGTGGAAAGTGAAGTAACGGGGAAAAAAAAAAAAAAAAGCAAAAAAAAAACAAAAAAGGAAAAGGAAAAGGAAAGGGAATTGCAAATAAAAACAAAACAAACAAACAAAAAAAAAAAAAAAGAAGAAAAATGAGCGCAAATGAATTTGAGACCAAAGAAATGCGTATACGATGATGCATGTGCGGAATTATATAACAAACGGAAGGACAAAAAAGAGACTGAAGGGCCAGGAGAGAAGGGAGGGAGGGAGAAAGAGAAGGAGGAGGTCTTCTAACAATACATTCCTGCCGTCACCCACTGCTATTTATTCGTCACGTTCATTCCCCTTCTCACCACGCAGCCTTCTCCGCCATCCGTTGCAGCGGGACGGTGCATGCGGCCAGGGAGATTTATTTGTGCGACCTTTTTTTCTTTTTATTTTCTTCTTTTTTTTTTTAAATAATAACCCCCCTCCTCCCAAAACAACAACAACAAAAGTTCGCAGGAAGAAACGAGAGAAAGGCTGTAAAGAAGGGCTGTCACCACCACCGCCCCTCCTCTCCGGAGACAGACGAAAAAAAAAAAAAAAAAAAGGAAGTTAAGACGCATGTCTGTGGAAAATGAAAACACGTCGGACATTTGGTCCAACCCCGTGGATCATTTTCGTCCCAATCTCAAGGCACTGACGCTCTACGCTGACTACCAGTACTACGTCGACAACTGGCTGCACGTCAAGGAGCGGTGGCTCTCACCGTGGTACCTGCCGTGGTGGACCCCCATGTATCAACTTGGCACATGGTACTCGCAGCGCAGGAGGAACCTCTTCCTGGTGGAGAACCATCTCAGTTACCGGCCGTACAAATATCGCCGTAACGATGAGGACCGCAAGAACCCGTATTAGGTAAACGTATAGGGTGGGGCGCAATGCATGCATTATTAGCTGCGCGGTGGGAGTAGTGGATGAGGAGAATTGTTTTTTTTTTTTTTTTTGTATGTATGCGTGCGTGTGTGTGTGTGTGTGTAGGGTGCATGAATGACAGGCGTGACAAATAAAGATGCCACCAACACGAAAAGAGGAGGAGTGGGGATGTGAGATGCACAGACGAGGATGGTATGCGTGAAGATTTTTTTTTTTCTCTCCTTTCTCTCTCTTTTTCTCTTAGGGAACAAAAACAACAACGAAAAGGACCCTCCAAAGAAGCAAACAACCAAACAAACAAAACATGTGAGAAAAAAAAGAAAAGAAAAAAAAAGGAAGAGATGGAGGGACGTTTTTATTTTGTTGAATATTTCTTTTATTGGCGTCTCTGCTTCCTTTTTTGTTTTTGGTAGTCTTCTTGTCGTGTGGTGTCATCCTTTACGCTCTCTTCTGTTTTATTTGAGGAGGTCGCTATTATCACGGATGCTGCCGCTGTTGGAGGCGTGCGGCTGATGGCAGTGATGTTTATTATTATTATTATTGACTGCGTCCCAGTTTTTTATTCTTTGCTCCCCCTCTCCCTCTCTCTCTCTGTCTAATCGGTGAATGACAGCGGCAAAAGGGCATCCGATACAAAACGTGAAAAAGGGTGTTTAGGGAAATTTTCACCCTTTTACACACAGACACACGGAAATAGAAATAGGAAAAGAATATGTTAGAGGGTCCTGATTGTTCGCAGCTTGACGAGAATGTGCTGGAGGCTCTTGTGCATGCGCTTACAGCTGACCGAAGTCTTTGCGTCGAAGACTGTCTGCCGTACATTCTCAACGAGATTGCGCATGGGGAATCTGATGTGGGTGCGCAGCGTCGCAGAGGGACGCGTGGGCGCTGGGAGCACGCAAAGGCCGCCGAGGTGGCAGAGTCGTTGGGGCGGGCCTTGAATAGTCGCGACGGCGGAAAAGAATGGTCTGCGGCAGAGGATGGGTGGAACATGTTTTTGTGCGGCATTGGGTCGGGACGGAGTGCCAATGGTGAGGTGCGCGAGGCACTGAAGGCACTCGTGGGGCCGGCCACGCAGGCATTGGCCCCCGTGCTGGAATTTCTTGTCTCCGAGGAAAACGTCCATGAGGACAGACTCCTGTGTGCACGTGGATTCTATGCCCGTGCCGTATCTTCCTTGCTTCGAGTTCATCTACCCGGGGCCACAGAGAAGGAGTGCGTCATGTGGTTGCGACGCTGCGATTGGAAAAAGGAGCTTGAGGAGCTGCTAAGCCCTTTTCTGCAGTGTGAAGTCGAGCCGCTGGCGAAGGAGTTGGCCTTTCACTTTCAACAAGGAATGAAGACTGCGCGGCGTGAGGAGCCCCAGCACTTTTTTTTGTTTCTCTTGCAGTTGTATGAGCGCTACAACGCTGACGTTCGCACACATGGATGGACATCGCCCAATATGAAAGCGCAGGATTCCATTTCTCTGTTGGCGCTGGGGAGTGTGTCACTGGCGTTCATTGCGGTTTCTGTCTTCCGCGGTGTCTACGGCTGGTGTGAGGGATCCCAATTCCTCGCTTCCAGGGACTTTACAGTGCATGGTGTGAACTCTTTTATTGACTTCTTGGACCGGGCGAGGGGGATCATTCACGGCGGAGCGCAGCTGCTACTGGCGGAGAGCATTTTTTTTCACTCCGCCTTTTGTGTTTTTTTAGAGACGGCAAGAGTTGCCGCTGAACGGTCCTTCACCACGGGGGCACGTGCACTGTGGCGACAGGAGTTTCTTGCCATGGATCCACCGCGGGCATTCCATACCGTTTGCGGCGCATATCACATGTTGCGGTGTCTGGAAGCGGTGGTTCGGCGTTTGGGCGTTGTGTTCTCACTTCTCCCCATCTACGCAGTGAGCCTCTGGGAACGAACCATTACGCCGTGTTTGTCGACATTTGTTTGCGCTTGTGAGGCAGCCAAAGAGTCATGTGATTCGAATTTAGATGCGGTTATGGTGTCGCTTGAGGTGCTTAGTTGTGCGCATGCCATGCATTCTGCTGCGGAGGAGTGGATGGAGCAGTGTTGCGAGGTCTGTGGCGGGGTGGAGATTTCCACGTCCCCTCTTGAGCGGCTGGCGCTGTGGCGTGATGAACTCACACGCGGAACGACGCACGATGTAAAGCAGTTTCTTGCGCGACTCTTTGCGGAGCCTGGCCTTTTGGAGTGGCGGGACCTTCGGGCATGGGATGCTCTACTGCGTGTTGTGTGTAGCGGTAAAACCCCGGCACACGCCGTTGTTTATGAAGACATGAAGTTATCTTTGACACGACTTATATCGGAGGAGCAGCGAAACAGTTTGAAGGAATATTGCAAAGTAACTAGCATGGGAGCGATAGCTACCCTTCTGGGAAACACCGTGACGTGATTCACCGCCCACACACCCACCCACACACACACACACACATTCTTTCTTTCTCTCTCTCTCTCTCTCTGGCACTGCGTATGCCTTTCCGTGGCGTATCGACCGAGTTGTATAAGCGGGGCTACACTGCTTCTGTCATTCGTAGGGGGGCGGGAAGGAAAGACGTTTGTTAATAATGTTTTTACTTATTGCAGGCCATCAATGATGATGATGATGATTATTATTGTTGTTGGTTTTGCGGCCGGTATGAATGGTATTAGTCGTGAATTTCCCGTCGCATGGATCGCGGGTGGTTGGTGTCCTGCCCTTTTTTCTCCACCCCGAATCCCCACCCTACATGTCTGCCGTCCGCCCCATGGCGTATATTTATTTCTTTCTTCTTTTTTTTTTTTTTGCTTCGGACATTTCCGCCGCGATTGTCATGGCGTTTTTGTGTGCGTGTGTGCGTTGCCGGGAGGAGGGACGCGCAGCCCACAAGAGAAAAGGGGCTGTGTGGATTGTGCATGCAGGCATGCCGTCAATTCCTTCGTCACAGGATCAAAAGGGGTGGCCATACCGCGTGGGTATGTGAAGTTTCTCTCGCGGAGATGTCCAAGCAGGGCGAGGGCATTTTTTCCGAAGGCGACACGACGGCGTTGCGGCCCCCGTTTTCCTCCGCCCCCGTCGCGCGACGTCTCACCACGACAGAAGAGGCGGTGCGTCGCATCTCGTTGTTTTACAGCCCTCACACATATGCCTACGGCCTTCTTAGTGCTCTTGTTCTTTTCGACGAGGCAAAGCGTCGTGGGCTTCTGGACCCCAAAGTGGATGCGGGGAAGTTCTTCGTGCACCCCATGGCGCTCGTTCGCCACCCGGAAATGTTTTCACAGTTTTTTGGACCCGAACGGGCCCAATTCTTTTCCGCGATGCTTCAGCAACTTCTTGCCGTGCACGATGCGGAGTACTCCTCCGTCGTGCGGGTGTGTCGTTCACAGGGTGTGGATGCGACAAGGTGGATCCCATTCCTGCGCGGACTGTGTCTCTGCGTGATTGCTGGCGACCCAATACTCTCCGAGGCGAGTTTTGTCATTGAGGACTTGATTCTGAACGGTGTTCTCCATGACGGCTTAAGTGTTCCTGGAGACTACAACGATCGTGGCGTCTCAGTAGCCGACATGCTCATGGAGGCCGCCGTGGAACTTGGCTCGGCGAGGCTGTCGGAGTTCAGTTTGTCCGTATACCGACAGTTTCTGCCGGAAACACCTTACGCGGTCAGCAAGAGGCTGGCTTTGTGTATCACGCGAGGTGAGAGACGTCATCTCGACTGGAACTTGCGATGCCTCCCACGTAAGCCACGTGGCCGGTCACGTTTGAAGCGTTAATGATAATTATGTTGTTTTTTTCATTGCCGTTCACGTTTATTTATTTATTTTTTTTGTGTTTTTTCGAAAAGTTACGTTTAGTGAACCCTCGTGTTTGTTGGCGTTCATTTACGGTGCTCCTCCCGCGGTGTGTGTTTGTGTGCACGCCGTGTCATTGGGCGGTTTCGTTTCGCCATTTTCTGCCTGTCGTGCACGTTCCTCCCCCTTTCTTGTCTCTCCCTTTTTCTCTTTGTTTGTGTGTGTGTGTGTGTGGGAAGAGATGGAGCTGAACGAGCTGCAACGCCTCTCGGCGGCCTTTTACGAGCAGGGGATGCGGTACACCTTCACGGCCTCGCAGCACCCGTCAAATCCCGGTGTTTACCGCTTCGTCTTCTCGCGGCCCACCAACGCCACGCCGGAATCGCCAGTGTACATCACCGTCGATATTTTCCGGTCCCCCCCCGACAACAAAACAGACGACGACAACACGACGACGTACTGCGCGATGGTTGAGGGACTCCGTTGGCCGTATTATTTCCGTCTGCGCGGTGGGGCGATCGATGAGGGCGGCTTTTCAGAAAATTTCCTGGAGAAGGTGGACGCACAGAAATGTAAAGTCAACGAGCGGTGCCTTTGGATGTAAAAATGCCGCAGACTTCCCCCCCTGTTTTATTTTTTCTTTGTCTCTTGAGCTCTCTCTTTCTCTTTCTCTTTCTCTCTCTCCTTCTGTTGTATACATGTGCGATTGTCGTTCTTTTTTTTGTTGTCTCTTTAAAATAATAAATAATTATATTTACATTCTCCGTGTCGTCCGCCGCGCATTGATACGCCCATTGCACGGAGCTGCCACAAGATATTTGTTGCCATAAAGTGAGAGGAAGAATTTAAAACACACAAACACACACACACAAAAAAAAAAAAAAAAAAAGGGTTACAACTGCTTAAAAGGAAGAGACGAAAAAACAACAACAACAACAAAGTTACGGGTGGAAGAAATCAGAGATGCGTGTTTATTTTTCACTCAGCATCGCGCTTTTTCTTTTTCTGTTGTACGCCACGGCGGGACACTCTTTCCATGCGGAAGACGCTCCAATTTTGACCGATGAGTTTTTGGAACATGTGAACCGCCTCAACGGCGGAAAGTGGACGGCTGGCCGCACAAGCCGAACAAAACACCTCACGCGTCGCGGGGCAAGTCGGATGCTGGGGACTTTCTTACGAAACACCAGCATCCTCCCCCCGCGGCAGTTCAGCGAGGAGGAGCTTCGTGTGCCGCTCCAGGACAGGTTTGATGCCGGAGAAGCGTGGCCGGAATGCCCCACCGTCACGGAAATCCGTGACCAATCGAGCTGCGGCTCTTGCTGGGCTGTGGCAGCAGCTTCAGCCATTTCGGACCGCTATTGCACTCTTGGTGGCGTACGGGACCTCAGAATTTCTGCGGGGGATCTTATGTCGTGCTGCGATGTTTGCGGTTTTGGCTGCAATGGTGGCTATCCCGAAGTTGCCTGGGAGTACTACGCCGTGCACGGTATTGTTTCAGAGTACTGCCAGCCTTATCCTTTTCCATCCTGTGCGCATCACGTGAACAGCAGCGATCTCTCCCCATGCTCCGGTGAATACGACACGCCTACGTGCAACAGCACTTGCACGGATAAGAAGATCCCATTGATTAAGTACAGGGGGAACACCTCATATGTCTTGAGCGGAGAGGAGCCTTTTAAGCGCGAGTTAATTTTGAATGGCCCATTCGAGGTTTCATTTTCAGTTTACGCTGACTTCGTGGCCTACACAGGCGGCGTGTACAAGCATGTCGCTGGGATTTTTCTCGGGGGCCATGCGGTACGTATTGTTGGCTGGGGTGAATTGAATGGAGAGCCGTACTGGAAGATTGCGAACAGCTGGAATCGTGAGTGGGGGATGAATGGCTACTTTCTTATTGCCCGTGGCGTGGATGAATGCGGAATCGAGGGAAGCGGCGTCGCCGGTACGCCAAGAATACCATGACTGCAGTGAAAAGGAAAGAAAAGAAAAAGAAAAGAGAATATTCTTCTCTACTGCTGGCCGGGCTCTGAAGGTGTTGAGATGGAAATAAAAGAAAATAGTATAGGAAAGAAGTGAGTGATGGCGGGGCATTGGCCTTTGGCACCTCCTCGTTGGTTTTTCACTCCAAGTAAGTGCACATGTATAAATGTATATATGTTTGTGTGTGTGTGCATGCATTTATATATTTATATTTCGATAGCCCCACCCTTTTGACATGCTGAACGTTCTATTCGGGTTGGAGATGTGTATTACATGCGAAGTGGCAGAATTAAAAAGGGATCGCCCGCCACAAAAAGAAGGTGAGGAGGAAATGAAAAAAAAAAAAAAAAAAAAAAAAAAAAAAAGAAAGAAGTTGTCTTCTTCTTGTCGCCATCGGTTCAATGACTACTTTCACCGCGGCCCTTCAAAAGGTTTCATAAGGGGAAAGAAGAAGAAGAACAACAACGACAAAAAAAAAAAAAAAGAAAAAAAAAATGGTATCAGAAATATTGTTTTTTTTTCTTTTTTATCTGGGAATATATTGAGTTGGGTAGCCCGCCATTTTTGTGAACATATTTTTTATTTTTTATTTATTTATTTATTTATTTATTTATTTTTTTACACGCCTTTCAGTCTCTCGTTCAAACAGAAAGAAAGAAGGAGAATAAAATAGGAGGAGGGAGAAGCCAAAAGAAAGAAAGAAAAAAAAAAATTTATGGAGTAATGGCCTGGACGGTAGGCGAGAGGAGCTTTCAATGCAGACGCAGATGTCTACAATACATATAAATATGTGCCTCTGAATATATATATATTTATACTGTAGAAATCTGAATCTGCATTGTTTTTTTTTTTTTAATTTTGGCAGGCATATCGATCTTATTTTTATTTTTATTATTATTTTTATTTATTATTTTTCATTTGTCGCTTTTTTTGTTTTGTTTTGTTTTGTTTTCTTTTTTAAAATTTCTTTGGCATTTGTGTGGCTTTTCCTGCTCTTTTTCATTTTCTCCCGTTGACCGGGAGGGAGTTGTCTGCCGCTGGCTGTGGGATGTCTCCCACGTGACATGAAATCTCTCTTTCTTTCTTTTTTTTCTTTCCTTTTTTTTTCTTTGCAACGCAGTGATGTTGGCAGTCTTCCATGCAGCCTGAGCGCCTCTGTGCATCCTCCCCGCGGTCCATCTCGTGCGGGTGCTGTCGGTCTGTTGAGGCGTCCGCAGCGGTCGCACGCCACATTTTGTGCGAATTCCGCCGTGAATGTCTGCTGGAGGGCGTGGCGCCCCCCCTCTTACCCCCCTTCCGTGTGTGTGTGGGGGGGAAAAAAAAAAGCCACTGACTCTCTCGAGGTGAAGTGTGGGGGGCAAATAACTTTTTGCGGATGGCCGAATTCACCGGATGGCAGTGGACAAATTTTTTCTGGCAACTCGTACGAAGTGAGGCGCCTGATCTCCAACGGTGTTTGGGAAAATGAACGGGAGACGATTCACACTGTGCTGATTACCGTGCATCCGGAAGGGCATTCCGATGTGCGGATGAGGGCCGTGTGCATCCTGGCGCTGAGGGAAGATCAGGGGAAAAGTTACTGGAAATGAAGGCTTAATACATCCTTTTCTCGCGGAATACGGAATAACCTTATATGCATTTGTACATGATCGGGTAGCTGGATCTTCATGAACAATTGTGGCTTATGTGCAATGGCGACGGCCGTTTATTTTATTTTATTTTATTGCTTGGAAGAATGAATTACATGAGCTCTCAACAGGGCCATTTGATTTTTTATCGATTATTTCTTTTGCCCCCTGGACTGCACAATTCCGTGTCTATCTATCTACCTATCTATTTATTTATATGATATATATATACATATATATATATATTGTGTGTTGGCCTTTTTTTATACGATTGCACGGAAGATTCTTTTGTTGTTGGTTTGTGTCACTTTGGTTTTTTCCTTCTGCGCACGGTCTGATGGCTGTGTGTGTGTGTGTGTGTGTGTGTGTGGGATGAGAGGAGCCCGCTGTTGCGTGCAGGAGGGCGTTTTGCCTCATGAATGGACAAATCGTTTTGTGCTTTTTTTTTGTGTCTGCAGCCACACTTTGCTTTGATTTTGCGAGTAATATGTACAATACACTCACAACGGAAAAAAACAAAAACAAAAAAGACTACGTTGGTGGCCATGTGACCCACCGTGAATGATGATGGCGTTTATCGTTTTGTGTGTTTCTTCCACACCTTTCTGCATTCTCTCAATACGCTTTTTGTCTTCTACCTCTCCACCTCACGCACACAGACAAACACGCTAGGAAGAAAGAAAACAAGCGCGAATCGCTGCCGTGAAATTCGAAGGCTTTGAAAGGACAAACGTCACACACACCGCCCACACACACATATTTCTATGCACTCACGTGTTGCTGCTGTGGAGGCACCCCGCACACACAACCGTTGCCGCGTGACCGGATCCAGCGGAAGGAGGAGGGAAGGAAGAGAGAATGAGCCGCAGAGGCCCAACATGTCCCGGCATCACTTCTATTCTGCGGTGCCGCTCCTCCTCGTCGTTATGATGTGGATGTGCTGCAACACCTGTGTTCCCGCAGCCGCTGAGGACAGCAATTCAGGGGATGTGCGGCTGCCGCAACGGGTCGGTCTCTTTTTGCCGCAGAAGACGTTGGTGCTGCCGAAAGAGGGGGCGGGTCCGGGTGAATTGAAGGATGCGTTTGCCTCACCCTCTATTGTTGTTGCTGGAGAAGTAATTGTTGCTATTGCTGAGGGTGAGAAGAAGCATAATGATCCGCAGCATCCAGCCGCCAAAACCCCTGCGGTTGATATTGTTGCGGGGTACCTCAACGCTACGGAGCCGTGGCCGTCCATGGTCGCCTATATCACCTCCAGTAAGTGGCATGCACAAACCGTTTTTGCCAGAGAAACCCCAAAGGATGGGTTGGGCATGGCGA